GAGGGCTCCACAACATTCTTCTGCCTGCCACGGCGTGTCACCGCTGTGGCCTCCTCCTTTTCCTTCTCTGAGGGCTCCACAACATTCTTCTGCCTGCCACGGCGTGTCACCGCTGTGGCCTCCTCCTTTTCCTTCTCTGAGGGCTCCACAACATTCTTCTGCCTGCCACGGCGTGTCACCGCTGTGGCCTTCTCTGGTTCAGGGGCCTGCGCAGCATTCTTCCGTCTGCCACGGCGCGTCACCGCCGTGGCCTCCTCCTTATCCACCTCCTCATTCTCTGGTGCAGAAGGCTCCACGGGCTTCATCTGCTCTCCACGGCGAGGCACCTCCACAGTCTCCTCAATCTCAAATAGGGGCTCTGCTGCAGCCAGCTTCTGCCGTCCTCCCCGGCGCGTAACCACCTGGGGCTTCTCATCCACCGCCACTCCCTCTGCCTGTGGATCTTCCTTCTGCGTGTCGGGGTGCTGGGCGGCCGGCGGCGCTTTCTTCCGTGCGCCACGGCGGGTCACCGCAGGGGGCTTCTCCTCCGCCACCATCGGTGCCACCGCCGCCGTCTGGCGCGAGGAGCGCCTGGAACTGGGGTTGGCGGCAGGCTTGGGATCCGAATCAGGCGCGATGGAGACGGCGAGCACGGTCGAATCGCCGACCTTGATTAGGTCCCCGTGGGAAAGCGGGGCGGGAACGGAGGGCACGAGGGGCTTGCCGTTGAGGAGGGTGCCGTTGGAGGACCCGAGATCGGAGACGGCCCATCCGGCGCCGGGAGGCGGGAGGAACTCGATGACGAGGTGCTGCTGCGACGCTCCCCCGTCGCGCACGGCGAGATCGTTGCCCTTGACGACGCGACCGACGCGGATGGCGGCGCCCGCGCTGAACTGCCGGGTCTCCCCCTCCCGTGGCCCCTTCTCCACCGCCAGGGTGAGCGTCGGCGGCGGAGCGGCCATTGGAGAGGGTGGGGATCGGAGGGTTTCCTCTTTTTTTTCCTGGCCTGTGAATGAGATTTCAAAATCAGTTTCGGGAGGGTTCGGGCGTTTTGAGCACTTCGCAGCAATCAGGGGAGGGGAGCGGGTGCACGGGCCCACAGGCAGTGTGCGTGAGAGAGAATTCGAGGCGTTCGACCGTTAACTTCTGGGATTTGGAGGCCAAGTTCGAACTAGGGCCACTCTCGGCTCCATATTCTCCAATAGCAGATTTTGGGGTTCTTTTCAGCTCCACATTCTCCAAAATCAGATTTTTAGGAAACTGCCCACGGAACCGGCCGTTTCGTTCTTTTAAAAGATTAAAAGATAGCAGTGCGAGATTGTGACATGAGTTGTATGCTGAAACGTCCATAATACCCTTGGTTTATGTTTGTTAACCAATGCAAGTTATTTCATATTGTTTTAGACGTAAATATGAACACGAAAACGATATGAGCGTCATAAAAGGATACATATCCCATTTACCAAGCACATCAATCAATGAAAGTTGCAATTGACATGACATATGTATACCCACAAATCCTTTTATGCAATTACATTCTAAACATTGCTGGAGGCTGCATCTCTAACTATGGACATTTTGAGCATGAACAATTCTCTTTTTTGCAACTTGGCATGCTTTCAGCAGTTTTCACTTTTCACATGTTCTTCAAGCAAGAAGGAGCTTTTTTTTTTGAAAAGGGGGGACTCCCCGGCCTCTGCATCAGAACGATGCATACAGCCACATTTATAAATAAAAGAGGTTCAACAAGGTCTTAAAGTCTGAAAACAATATAAAACGGCAAGCTCACAAAGAACCACAACGCCAAAAACAAAAGGCCCAAAAGCCACAACCGGCTGGCATAACAAAGATAGGTAAACTAATCGCATATCCTATTACATGACCGCCATCCAAACCGGTTGAAGATATCCCGCGCTATCATCTCCCATCGGACAGATCCAGTAACCAAACGCTCCCTGGGCTCCGTCGGAGTGAATAAGGACCACATACGGATCAGCGTAGTAGCTCGGAATAAAATCTGCAAAAAATGAATAGTTGTTGTTCTGTTAAAAGCCAAATCATTTCTGCAGTTTCAAATTGCCCACAACAACGCACATACTCCTACACGAATGTGTCTAGCTGTTTTGTACTCTATCCCAACAAGTCACGTTCCAAATAACGTACTGACCGAATTCGGAGGAGTAATGTTAAAGGCAATTTGCACGGTGCGCCACAAAACTCTCGCCAACGGGCAATCAAAGAAGAGGTGCTTAATAGTCTCGTCCCGATCACAGAAACTACACCTAGTAGATCCTGTCCAGTTGCGCTTAATCGAGTTATCCTTTGTTAAAATGACTTGTTTATGCACAAACCACATAAACACTTTAATCTTCAAAGGAACTTTGACTTTCCAAACATGTTTGGAACTAGGAATAACACTAGAGTTAATAACATCGATATACATCGACTTAACCGTGAATTCTCCAGACCTAGTAAGTTTCCAACACAACTGATCGGGCCGATGAGCTAGCTGAACCTCCATCAGTCTACTCACCAAATGAAGCCATGCTTCCCACCGGTCGCCAACAAGCACCCTCCGAAACTGAATATTAAGGGGAACGGACTGCATAATCGTTGCAAGTAGAGCATCACGTCGTTGAACAATACGATACAGGGACGGATACTGGAGCGCCAACGGCGTATCACCAAGCCAAGTATCCTCCCAGAAACGAGTATTGTTGCCATTACCGACAATAAACTTTGTTCTATTAAAGAAGGCGGCCTTGACTCTCATAAGCCCCTTCCAAAACGGCGAGTCAGTTGGTCTCACTGTCCCCTGGGACAAAGTCTTGGACTGCAGATACTTATTACGGAGAATCTGCGCCCACGTTGCGTTAGTCTCAACTGATAACTTATACAACCACTTACTGAGAAGACATCTGTTCTTGACTTCAAGATTCTCAATACCAAGACCCCCTTGGTCCTTTGGTCGACAGATGATATCCCATTTGGAGAGTCGGTACTTTCTCTTTAGTTCATCACTCTGCCAGAAGAATCGGGATCGATAGAAGTCCAGCCTTTTCCTAACCCCAACTGGGACTTCAAAGAAAGATAAGAGGAACATCGGCATACTCGTGAGCACCTAATTAATAAGAATCAATCAGCCTCCATATGACATAAGTTTGCCCTTCCAACAACTCAGTTTCTTCTCAAACCGATCCTCAATGCACTTCCATTCTCTGTTTGTTAGCTTAAGATGGTGAATGGGTATACCTAGGTATGTAAAAGGTAAAGCCCCAAATTCACATCCAAACAATTGCCTATAAGCCTCTTGTTCCTCCTTGGCTCTACCAAAGCAGAACAACTCGCTTTTATGAAAGTTAATCTTCAATCCGGTCAATTGTTTAAATAAGCATAACAACAGCTGAAGGAAATATGCCCTAGAGGCAATAATAAAGTTATTATTTATTTCCTCATATCATGATAAATGTTTATTATTCATGCTAGAATTGTATTAACCGGAAACATGATACATGTGTGAATACATAGACAAAACTATAGTCACTAGTATGCCTCTACTTGACTAGCTCATTAATCAAAGATGGTTATGTTTCCTGACCATAGACATGTGTTGTCATTTGATTAGTGGGATCACATCATTAGGAGAATGATGTGATTGACATGACCCATTCTGTTAGCCTATCACTTGATCGTTTAGTATACTGCTATTGCTTTCTTCATGACTTATACAAAGTTCCTGCAACTATGAGATTGTGCAACTCCCGTTTACCGGAAGAACACTTTGTGTGCTACCAAACGTCACAATGTAACTGGGTGATTATAAAGGTGCTCTACAGGTGTTTCCGAAGGTACATGTTGGGTTGGCATAATTCGAGATTAGGATTTGTCACTCCGATTGTCGGAGAGGTATCTCTGGGCCCTCTCGGTAATACTCATCACCTAAGACTTGCAAGCATGTAACTAATGAGTTAGTTATGAGATGATGTATTACGGAACGAGTAAAGAGACTTGCCGGTAACGAGATTGAACTAGGTATTGGATACCGACGATCAAATCTCGGGCAAGTAACATACCGATGACAAAGGGAACAAAGTATGTTGTTATGTGGTTTGACCGATAAAGATCTTCGTAGAATATGTAGGAACCAATATGGGCATCCAGGTCCCGCTATTGGTTATTGACCGAGAATGGTTTTAGGTCATGACTACATAGTTCTCGAACCCGTAGGGTCCGCACGCTTAACGTTTTGATGACAGTTTTATTATGAGTTTATAAGTTTTGATGTACTGAAGTTTGTTCGGAGTCCCGGATGTGATCACGGACATGACGAGGAGTCTCGAAATGTTCGAGACATAAAGATTGATATATTGGAAGCCTATGTTTGGACTTCGGAATGGTTCCGGGTGAAAACGGGATTTTACCGGAACACCGGGGGGTTACCGGAACCCTCCCGGGGGTTAATGGGCCTTAGTGGGCCATGAGGGAGAAGAGGAAGGGCCGGCTAGGGCAGGCCACGCGCCCCCTCCCCCCCTAGTCCGAATAGGACAAGGAGAGGGGGGGCGGCGCCCCCCTTCCCTCTTCCCCCCCCCCAAGTCCTAATCCAACTAGGAAAGGGGGGGGGGAGTCCTACTCCCGGTGGGAGTAGGAC